TATAGTGCAGTTTATATTCGCCTAACTGATCGTCTGTAACCACTCTAGGACAAAATTAACCATCTAGATGTCAATCAGGTACTTCTATTTATAGGCATTGGAGAAAATATCATGCTCTCTGAGGCCAACGAACAGTCACATCTTCCGACAGGGGCGGAAGTTGTCGCTCGATGGGAGGGTGAAGCTGATCAATTTGACTTTGATCGACCGCGATGGAATCCAAGTCAGTTTTGACGCTGGAAGTTATTCCTTTAGAGTAGTTTTATCAATCTTCAGAGTGTCAACGCTTCTCTCAAATGGTTTGGAGAGATACGACAGAATTAGGAGCTGCTCGAGCTTGGAATACCGCGAAGAACTGTGTGGCAGTTGTTTGTTTCTATAGGCCAAGCGGGAATTCGAATGCTCCAGGTAGGTAACTGATCGACCTAATTTTGTGAATATGTAAAACACAGTTATTGTTGGTTGGTCAGTGTACGAAATCAGATTGCTTAAGATTTCCAACTTTTGGATTCCGATATGGTAAAGTAGCTTTGTGGCAACATTATGGTAGGTAAAGAACCTGAATAAGAAATTACTGACTCGTTTTTAACTAGCGTCATTTTCTTTCATTGTGTTGCTTCGGCTTATGAGTTGTGAACCTGAAAATGCTAAAAATTCATCAAAAATGTTGAAGCAACGCTTCAAGTAATGTAATTTGTTTTTAGATTAACTGCTTCTTCTTACTGGCTTATTAGAGATATTATGCGCAACATAATCGAACCGAGTTTAAAAAGTTGAAAATTATAAATATCAGAAGAAGCATGCAGTTCCCATATAGATTGTTTCCAGAGAGTAGGTGAAAACATAGGCAAAAATAAATTTTGATTTTCTTGAGCCTTTTGGCATTCTGAAGATCAAAATCAAGAAATTGCGATGGTTGTTTCTTTGATCAATTTCTGTCACCAACATATGCCAACACGGAATTTTGCTTCAAGCAATAATAAATAGCCTGCTATTTCCTCTTTCTATTTACAATGAGTCGAACAATTCGATGAAACCCCATACCCACGCCTTTGAAAAGATTTGGTGCAAGATTAATGTATGAACCAACTCAGTATCTACAGTTCTGCATGAGCAATATGATATCATCTTTGACTTACTAAGAAGTTGTCTAATAGCAACATAATTGTCGCTAAAACGAACTTTGTTAGACTTTGTTTGTTGATAAGATACAAGTATGTATAATCAAACTTGAACTAAGTGAAGTCAATTGAACATAATCATTTTTAGGTGAATTTGCCTCAAATGTGCCATCCAGAGACTGCTCAATGTCTCCAG